CAGATAGCACTAAGAAGGCAAGTGGGTAGCAAGGAGACTTCCAGGGAAAGAAAACAACGTGGCAAGAAAGAGCACACTATGTTTGAGAAAGGGAAGTAAGATGAGTGATGCTGAAACAACAGAGAGAACGAGGGGAGGTGATATAGGCTGAAACTAGAGTAGTAATAATAGCAATAATAAGGATGATCATAGAGAACATTTTTGAACACTCAGTAAATCCTAGGCTCTTTCCTAAGCACTTTACATTCATTAATTCTCATTGTTGTTATCTCTATTTTAGAGGTGAGGCAGCAAAAGCCAGAACATGCAAGGTCTAGAGACAATGTTAAGGAATATGTCTTTCATAGGTGCAAGTAAACTGTGGTCATTGAGCAGCTTTAAGCAGACTGGAGATAGAAGGTTGAGGCACAAAGATGTGTGTTTTGAAAAAATGACTCTCATTTCTACATGAGGAATGGCTTGGAAGAAAATGTAGAGACTATGGAGGACATTACGGTCATGCAGTGAGAGGCGACGTCAGTGGAGAGTGGTATGGTAGCAAGGAAGGTTAGAGATGTGGACAGATTTAAGAACTTAGTAATGGTTGGGCATGGGGGTAGGGCAGGGAGGGAAAATTCCGGGATATCGAGTGTTCTCCTTTCCCGTGGAGAGGGCACCAGGCTGTGAGGTAGATGCTGACTCGGTTTTGGACATGCTGAGCATAAGAAACTTTGGGGACAAAACAAAATATGAAATCAATTACTGTTTGTTTTAATGGGTTGAATTGAGATGCTCTCTACCCCCTATCAGGAGCTCTTCATGATTATAGTGCAGAATTAGGATATTGCTCTTCTATAGCTAAAAAGGGAGTGCTTTAAAAAAATTCTATGTGATTATTCACTGGTAAGCTGTACATATGGCCATTATCCCTCACCTCAGCGATAACTAAGATCTGTGCAAATCGGCTATGTTTTGATCATTACAGTGACGTCACAGTTCAATGGCTCATGTCCACCTAATTGTCCTTCTTTCCCAGTATCTTACTTGTATGACTTGATCAGTAGGTGATCTCTCTCACTAACCAACCTCAACTAATACAAGTCAAACTGATGCAATTCAGTCACCAACAGAGATACTCATAATCCTGACCCTTTAACTGCCTGACAAACACTGAAACACCTAATGGTACTGAGTTCTGTAGTGATGTCTGCCAACTCTCTTGGATAATGGAGAGCTTTTGTAAATAGCAGGTCCCCTCATGTCCACAGATGGAAAGTTGGCAGTTCTGGTGTCATTGGTCCGGAATGATTCCTTTTAGAACAACAGTTATTAAACAGCTTGAAGTCACTGCTGACAAAGCTCTCAGTTTTGCCCACTCAAATAGCTCCATTATATACATGAGGAAGTTGAGGCACATATTTTATTCAAGGATATCCATCAGAACAACAACAGCATTGCACTTAGCTATAACTGACCTGGACTTTTATTTCCTTTTCCTTCTATGTTTATATTGCCTCAGTCACTTTCTCCAAGCATAACTTGCCTGGTTAGTTCCTTTCCCCTTGTCACTAGCAGTGTTCAGGCAAAAGCCATTCCTGAGTTAGAATCTTCATCTCCAGAACCTCCAGCCTCTCTAGACTCTCCAAACACATAAACGTCCTTGAGTCTAACTGAAGGCATCTGAAGACCATATACTTAACTTATAAAAAAATAAAATATTGACCTATTGAGAGTTAATGCTCAAGTTGTTGAACAATAAAAACCATTAATAGGAAGAGCAAACTAAAATCTTTGTGGAAAATTAAAGCTGTAGTAACAAAGAAAAAGAAAAATAACGTAATCTGGTGGAAAGGAAACTGTCCTGTCAAATAAGAGATCTGCGTTGATACTCTCAACTTAGTTCTGCCACCGCTTAACTACCGATATGATACTAGACCAGACTCGTCCAACCCATGGCCCAAGGGCTGCATGCAGCCAAGAATAGCTTTGAATGCAGCTCAACACAAATTTGTAAACTTTCTTAAAACATTATGATATTTTTTGTAGTTTTTTTAAGCTCCTCAGCTATCATTAGTTTTAGTATATTTCATGTGTGGCCCAAGATGATTTTTCATCTTCCAATGTGGTGCAAGGAAGCCAAAACATTGGACACCCCTGTATTAGACTGCATCATGCTTCAGTTTCTTTTTTGTGTCAAAGGCAGAAGATAATTAATCTCATGCATTCTTCTTTCTAAAACAACTATTTAAAATACTCTATTCAATGTGATTTTAAAAATAAAAAGATTTGAATTTTTGCAAAACTGTGGAGAATTTACCAAGTGCTTTCCTCGAAGTTTTATCAGCAGATGAGTCTTAATGACAAGAGAAATAAAAGATCGCAGCAAAGCCAGGACGAAAAAAGCATCCTTAACCTCATGTATGCAGAAAGACAGATCCACCCTCACCAGTAGCAGCACAAAACTGTCTAGGACTGCTATGTGACATGACAGATATTCATGTGCTTGAAACAATGAGGTGATATATGGACAGCTGGATAAGTCAGTTAATATTTGACACCAGTCTTAGGTTTGGTGCAAACACTGCCAATACTCACCTCATTAAAAGGGAATTACTGTAAAAAATAGACTACCACTGCAGTTTCCACTAGAAGTTCATTCCTCTCTATTCCTTCTAAGATGCAAAGCAGTTCAGCACGCACGGTTGTGTCTCTTCTCTTCATTTTATGAGTGATACTGTCCAGAGTTACTGAAACTCTTAGTTCTTAAGGGAAGAGCGGATGGTGTTGTTGGGTTTACATCCTTTGTTAACGTCAAGAAACCAAGCCACATATTTTTTAATAATGAGAATCTGGATCAACTTCAATGGATATTTCAAAAATATATTCCAATTAAACTATTTAATAGAGTCCTGGCTTTTTCTCTAGCCCCATCCCATCACCATATGTATCCAATAATTCAAGTTCTTTCTTCTCTTCCGATAAAAGTGAGAGTCACTGAAGTGTTTTGAAAGTTCAGTTTATCTGAAACCATTGTTTTCAAAATGTCAATAATAACCTTTCATACTGGCAAATTTTTAGTATAAGTACCAAAAAACCTACTATGCTGCACATCTAAGTAACCCATGCCGGCTTCCTGTGTCTGTGCCTGCCCAACGATCACCCTCAATGATTACTCCATATCCATGTATATATACACATTAGGTGATTGTGCTCCAAGATGAAGGCTGAGTGGCTCTGCACACCTGAGTCACAGTGCCACCAAGTGATCCCATTCAATATTCACTGGGTACGTACTGGGTGCCAGGCCCTGTGGTAAATCTTGGGGATACAGCATTGAACACAATTGCTGCCATTAATGCCTGCCCTCTGAAACCGGCAATATCACTGCCAACCTTCTCTGACCAACCTCCATGATACAAACTCCTGCTTAGCTAGAGCTTGGAAAGGCAATGAGTAAAGCAAGGGCAGATAAGCAAAGAAGCCATCTCAGAACTAAATCAAATCAATGACACATTTTTGTCTACACAGCATGTTTATATAAATTTCCTCACACACACACACAAATTATCCCTCTTTTGTAGGTGAGAAAGCTGGAATGCAGGAATAGAATTAAATTGCTTCAAATTTAGAGAATTTGTGACCATCAAAGATAAGGGCCTAGATTTTCCTGAGTCCCTTTAAGCCCCTGCCTCTTAATGGCCATCCATGAGGGCTTCAAACCCGTGATGACACCTTGAACAACTATTGACTCTGCTTCTAATCACAGGTTTGTAGGGAGGAATACATAAAAGAGATGGAAATTCTGGATCACTTACTTCACCAGATCCCTGTGAAAATGAACAGTCTAATCATGTTTTAAATAATTAATTATCAGAAAGGCAATATTCCCTGGTCCTGACACAACTTTGCTTAAGTGTCTACATACAGGGACATAAGGGCCTTGAAGGTGAAGATAATGAGGATGATGAAGACGATAATAAGTAGTATTAAATGCTTACTATGATTTTAAATGGACGATCTCATTTAATTCAAGAATTCTATTTGTTTCTACTTTTCCATATAATGCAGAAGATAAAACTGGGTGTCAGAAAAGTTGAGGGACTTGACCAAGGTCACAAAGCTAGAAAGGATCAGTGATAAGAGCCTAGCCTAGACCTAGTCTGACTCCGGAGTCTATGCTTTTAATCACTATGCTCATCTTAAAACCTGACAGATTTCAGCAATTTAGGTGACAAACCTAATTCAGTGTGCAAAATGTTAGAAGCTCCTCTGAAAAGGGAATGTAATATAATACATGGGTGCTATGCCTGGGGAAGCTACAGACTAAACTAAGAAAATCTGAAATAAATCACGACCCATCTGGCCACAGGTTTCCCAACCTGAGCTGCAAGGAAAGAAAAACTATAAATTGGATAAAAAGCACAAAGTTCAAAGCAGTAGAGGGGGATGTCTATTTAGTCCACCAGCTGAGAGGGGTGTTGTTTTATATAAGCAAAAAAGGAAAGAACACAAGTTGCAAGGTTCAGATAGGCTTGCAGCAGCCCACTCCTCACCTTGAGACCTGACACAATTTATTCCCATTGTCCAGAGCAAAGATTTTGCTCATCACAAAACTTTTCTTATTCTAGGGAAAACTGAGAAGGCTACCATGAGGAATAAATGAAGTGATTAAGAAAATCTCTTCAAATACCAAGGCATATGTGAATGCTTAGCAATATTAATAATAATATCATCATTATCATAATAATATATCATGTAATGATGATATTATAAATATATAACCGCACTGTCAGGAAGGGTGAGAGCATTTTGAGTGCCAGATGAAATGCTGCCTTTGGACCCAGCTCGTTTACCCAAGTGGTGATGCTTTGGTTATTTACAGAGCTCCTGAGTTCTCTTCATTCCAGGAGAATTGGTATAACCCATATCTTGGCCTGAGGCCAGATGTGCTATATTCAGTTGAGCTCCCCACTCTGTCCCTGGCCCTGTCACTAAGCAGAGGCCTTGCTCCAGGGCTTTACCTTGCTGCTTCTGCATGGTGGTGAAGTCTTCGAAGGTGAGTGTGCGCACAGGAGGTCTCCAGAATGCATAAGTCTCCATGATGGCTTCAAGTCCAGTTCTGACGAGAGAAAAGCCAGCAAAGGAAGTCACAAATAATCTCAAGAAATGCAATGACTTTTCAAAGATCCAGAGGTAGACTGTTAAACAGGTAATAAAAACATAGGTACTAAGATCTACCACCATCAGGGTAAATTAGGGTGAAAAAAACTCAAGGTACAATGATACTGGACTGCAGGGGGAATAACAAATTAACCCAATTCAGATAATTTGCAAGCAAATCTACAACTATGATGGAATTTTATTCTGACCCTCCTTTAAAGGAGGCTTGGTCTGCAGGGGGAAAAAAAAAGCATGGTAAGTGTTAAAGGTTAAGGCCACTAAAATCATGAGTACAGTTGTGGAGAAAGTAACATTGACTGTTTCTCTAGCACAGAACAATGTCGTCATCATTACCACAGTGCACTGACACAGCCTGACTGAGCGTCAGCTCCTCACCTTGGGTATGTACAGAATGAATGGAACTGTCAAACTGCTGTGGTTTTAATGTCTTCTTAAATCAACAGAGATGAGTAGAGCAACAGAAATAAAAGGAGAGGTAAGCAATGAAATAGAGTTGGGTTTCTGCTGTAGTAAGAAACACCTACCTGAAGATAAAGAAAGGGCTTGGTCTCAGAAATTATGGCTCAGGCAAAAAGACTAATACATTTCTCTAAACATTCATCTGCATTTTAGTAACCTAATAATCAATCTAGTCTTTGGTCATCACAAACTGTCAGAGTTCAGGAAGTATATAGTATTTTACAAGTACATTCTTTTAAGGCTCCTGGTTCATTTATATTGGAAATTCCATAAATTGGACCATGTGTATACTGTCTTTTTACCCTTCAATTAACTATATCTCTAATACATATGCAAGTGTTGATATACATCATTTTCACATGATTATTGAGGTTATCTCAGACATATTCTTGCTGATATCCATACCCTCAAAACAAAATATCAGCTGGGGCTTTGTTTGAAGCTTTGAACACAGCTTCTAATTACTGATTTTTCTTTTTAAAAAAACTGCTTCACTTAACTAAATAGAGGGAGGAGAAGTGTGGGACTTGTGAGAAAGGTGGGAGGAGAATGGGAAAGAGCAGATGGCATAAATCTTTTCATTGCAAAGTCACTGGAAGGTGGGTGGTATGGCGTCCCTTCCTGAAATGGATTAGCTTTCCCTTTTGAGATGAAACTTCTGCTGCCTGTGCTTCTTTCTTGGTAATGTATTTCCAGAGTTCTCTTCAGCCTTACATAACAAGAATAAAGACATTTTATTTTAGGTGAGAACAAATATCCTTTACTTAACAACAACTATAGGAAACCCTGAGGTTCTTCTCAGATGAACTGTTGATACGCTGATTGACTCTTTGTGTTGGAAAATTTCCTCTCTGAACAGGCCTCACTTGCACAGTTAACTTTCTAAAGTCTTCCCTGGAATCTTGGAGGCTTTAAATACACCAATGTTGGCAAACCAAACTCTGTATTTTAAGAAGAGGTTCAGACAAGAGAGTGTTGCATGGTGTTTATTAGCTGTTAATCTGTTAGAAGTAGGAATAGGAGACATCTCCACATAGTCACTCTACGTTAATGTTGAATACAGTACATGAAACTATTTGTGGAGAGAAAGAGCCCAGGCAATTAGGGAGTTCAGAATAATAAGGGGATAGGCAGATAAAGCCACACTGAGCCTGGATGGATAGAAGAAATAGATAGGCCAGGCTTAGGTCTTACTGCTTTGTTTTGGAATGTTGGCCACCCACCAGAATATCTTAGGATTCCCTTTAATGGCACAGGAGGCTCACTGAAAATGGCAGGGTCTTTATTGTTCCACCTCCTAGTTCATTCTTCCCAGGAACATGTACTGATGATGAGGACAAAATATTAGCTCAAGGACAAAGAACAGTCCCTTCTCAGTTCATAATAAAGTGCTAGAAGACTATGAAATTGCAATAATATACTGATACACTGCCAACGTTTTATTTGTTGAGTAAACAGAAAATGAACTTCATTTTCTATCCTAGTTCATTTTGTGCTGCTATAACCTACCATACGCTAGGTAATTTATAAACAATAAAGTTTATTTGGCTCACAGTTCTGGAGGCTGAGAAGTCCAAGAGCATAGTGCTGGCACTTGGTAGGGGCCTTTGTGCTGAGTCATACATGATGAAAGATGGAAGGTCAAGAGAGGGCAAGAGCAAAAGAGAAAGGGTCCAAACTCATTCTTTCATCAGGAACACACTCCTATGTTAATTAGCCATTCATGGGGCACAGCTCTCAGAACCTAATCACCTCTTACAGGTCCCAGCTCTCAACACTGTTGTATTGCAGATTAAGTTTGGAACATATAAACTTGGGGAAACATGTTCAAACCACAGCAGTTTCATTTTCATAATAGGCAAGAAGACTGTGACGAAAGTGTTAACAGTTTTATTTTATTTAAGCGGTTAACTCTATATAGAATAGTGACCATTTATTCATTAATTCAAATCTAAAATCCAACTAAAAGAACTGAGTTGTAAAAGCACAGATTTTAAATCTGGGAAGAATCTTGGATGTCATCTACTATACCTCTTATGATATCATCTTGAATGGTTATCCACCTCTGTTGGTATACATATTCCCAGGAAAATTTTCAGTTTTTTGATAGATCTGATATAACTTTCACCCTCTGGTTCCATTACCAATAAGTAAATAGTAAGAGGACAGGCATTTCCCACAAGGAGTCCACCTGCCACATCCTCAGCAGGGAGACCTTCCTTAGCTAAAGAACATAATGTACAACATGCCGCATATGGACGCATATGTAATCCATCCAGGGGTCTGTCACAACAAGGATCAATTTGGTAGTGGAATTGTATGGGGAGGGTTATGGCTCCCAAAAAAGTAATGGTTAAGACCACACATGCCTAACCATCTTATTAATCCACAGTGGATGTATGTCTCATAAATATATCCTACATAGCATATATATATAAATTATTCTATAATAGAAATGATCCTATAATATATATTATCCTACGGAGAATAATATTGGTCTCATAGATTTATATTATTGATTTTATTTATGTATTCAGTGTGTATTGCTTTTTAGAAAAATTAATCCTATTCATTTACCATATTCCACCTCTTTTATTTGTCCTCAACCCTATTATGCTTCATTGGATAGATCTAATTGTTAGAAGGTACTAGTTCTATAAATCAATATTTGGTGTAGTGCCATGCCAAGATTAAACAATTCACCTCTCTCCACCACTAGTATGTTCGCATCTCAAGGGCTTGGGTCCCATGTTCTTCTATGCCCAGTTTTCTAGCACAGTGCTGGTTACAGGGTAAGATCTCAAATGATATGCATTGAATTAATAAGTAGAGGAATTAATGCTTTATTGCTGAGTCATTCTTACACTTTAACAAGCATTCACTGTTCTAAGTCTAAAACTTAGGAACACAACTTGGTGTAAAATAAAGTCTCTGAAGACAGAAAAGATCCTCCAGTATTAGAGATTTGAGAATTGTTTCTATAGCTTATTGTGATTGTGCCTTTATTAACTTCAGACTCAGAGAGGTTTGCATTTTCATTGTATTTTTTCCATTCCAGTCATAGAACTTCTGAGCGTCAGCAGAGTCTGAGTTCCCTCGCAGGGGCATCTTTTCTTATAAGAGTTCACCCCTCATCTTTTCTTATAAGAGTTCTTGCCAACCACCTATTAACATCTTCAGTCAGTTGGATGTCTAGTCAAAATTTACCCTGTGCTACATATTGTTTATCCATTTGTCATCCTTTTACCCTAGTTTTGTAAAATTTTATCTCCAAGTTTTTAAAAGTGAATTCATTGTCTAACAGGTGAAAAAAGCAGTCTTAGGTAATGGTATGCCATTAACGTGTTCCACATGGTGAGCCTCTCAGGTCTGCTGAACACCAGAGACCTGATGTCATCTCTGAGATTTCCAATCAGAGAGAGTCAAATTGGCCAGTGTCCCCCTCTTGCTCATTTCTCCCTGTTAGCTCCAGTGACAACACAGGCCGTATCAAAACCACCTTTGTTCAGTGCTTTGGCTATAATCACCTCTCTGGTTTCCAGACCTCTTCTCTTTAGGCTTTTCAGGTTGCTCACTGGCCAAGCCAACAGAATGTGCTGAAGAGAAGGGGAAAGAGGAAGAAAAGAAAGCAAGCCAAGGACCTCTTTTGCAAATTGATGATGCCTTGAAATCAATTTATTTGGAAAAATAGTCAGACTACAGAAAAAAAAATCCTTCCAACGTTTTCAGTTCAAAAAAGATGGCAGGATCATTCCTTCAAAGTTCAACAAATATTTGATAAGTACAACAATAATTGTAATAACTTTCATGACCCTACTTGGTAGCACTCCAATACATATTTCTGCTTTTCATTTGTCTTGAGATAGGGAGTTGCTTTTTAATTTTTCCTTTGTTTATTTTCTCTTTAGTTCTGACTTCCTTAATTTTTATTCTTCCCCATACTATTTGCTGGTGACACTGGTAACAAAGGGAACATATGCTATGGGTTGATAAGGTCATTGGTCGTCTCTCAGTGGAAGACAGAAAAAGACTAAGGGAAGCCTACTGAGACAGAGGTTATATGCTAAGTTCAGGAAATGTAAAGACAGAAAAGACACAGGGTCTCTACTCTTTACAACTGTCTTGTTTTTTTAAAAAAGGAACAAGATATAAATGACTAGTTTCTGAACTATGCAGTAAATGTTACACTGAAGGCACGTATGCCAAGATGCCATGGAGTATTGAGCAATAATCACTTAATACACCTGAAAAACTCAAGGAAGATTCCACAAAAGGTCAGTTATTTAAGCTTACTATTAAAGAGTACTCAGCCATTTTCCATCTAGAAAAGAGGCAGGAAAAGTTTTTCTAGTAGACTTAACAGTATGTGCAAAGACTTGGAGGTATGCAAGAGAAAGTATGTTTTCAGGACTTAGTTCAGGGTGACTGGAGCCTAGGGTACAGAATGGGAGAGGGGCAGTAGACATCATGAACATTTAT